GTTCAGGGTCTAGGGCTTAGGGTTCACAGTTTAGGGCTTAGGGTTTAGGGCTTAGGGTTTAGGGCTTAGGGTTTAGGGTCTAGGGCTTAGGGTTCAGGGTTTAGGGCTTAGGGTTCAGGGCTTAGGGCTTAGGGCTTCGGGCTTAGGGTTTAGGGCGTCGGGCTTAGGGCTTAGGGCGTCGGGCTTAGGGCTTAGGGCGTCGGGTTTAGGGTTTAGGGCTTAGGGGTTAGGGCTTTGGGTTTAGGGTTTCGGTCAACCTTCAGCCCCGTTCTAGAACAGTCTTGAGCTCCAAAGGCTTGACGGTTTAGGGTTTAGGGTTTAGGGTTTAGGGTTTAGGGTTTAGGGCAGTCTTGACGGAACCTTGGACCCTAAATTCCCAAATCAAGCCCTTCGAGGGCCGGGAGGGCAGGAGAGGGTTCCCCAACCCTGGCACATGTAACCCTTTACGCAACCCTCGAAACCCTAAACCCTAGACCCTAAACCCTAAACCCTAAACCCCAAACCCCTAAACCCTAAACCCTAATCCAAAACCGTCAAAAGTCGAGCTGCTGGAACTCCCGCGGCTTGCCGGACTGAGGCAGCATCGTCGCCACGCGGCCTAGAACCTCGGGGCTGCATCGACGGATTCTGTGGGCATCGTCGAGGGTTTAGGGTTTAGGGTTGAGGGGTTTAGGGGGTTAAGGGTTTAGGGGTTTAAGGGTTTAGGGGTTTTGGGGTTTAGGGATTTAGGGTTCAGGGGTTTAGGGGTTTAAGGGTTTAGGGTTTAGGGTTTAGGTTTCTAGAGGGTGTTATGAGGGCCTACGGGGGTTTTTGCAAGGCTCGTAAGGGGTTTATGGCTTCGTTGGTAGTGATGGAAGCCTTTATAAGTGCTTAGAGGCTTCTAGTTAGGGTCCGTAACCAGGTTGGCCTCTGAAAAATACTCGTAAATAAGGTGCTCTTAAGGCCAGCCCAACAAGGAATATATATATATATATATATACCTATCTATCTCTCTATCTCTCTATCTCTCTATCTATCTATCTATCTATCTATCTATCTATCTATATATATATGATGTCCCAAAGGCCCACCTGGCTAAAGTTCTGGAGAAGGGCCTGCAGGGTCATACAGAGCTTGACAAGGTTGCCAGAGACTCCAACATCCCTTTAGTAAGGAATAGACCTGAAAGGGCTCCTTAAAGGGATGTATAGGGTTTCTATAAGGGTGCTATAAGAATTATCCCTTAATTAAGGTATATGCCTTAAATTATAGTAGGATCCCGAATATGATTTAAGGTATATTCCTTAATTATACAGGGCATATTGGAGTCTCTGGGTTCTTACGGACGCTTGAGGGTCCAAAACAGAGTTTTCATAAGGCTCTCACAATGGTTCTGTGAGGGTTAATGGAGGGATTCACAAGGTTCTTGTAGGGTTGGTTATATTCCTAAACCCTAAACCCTAAACCCTTACATAGGGCCTTTCGAACGGTTCTTGTAAGGGTTCTCTAAAAGCTTTAGGGCTTTGGGTGGCTCAAGATTTAGGGTTTAGGGTTTTAGGGGCGGTAATAAATAGAGTAAAGTTTTGGGGAACATACCGTGGTATGGCTAGTACCTATATGGCGCCTATTAATGCTCACGAGGATTCTAAAGACTCCAAGAGGGTGCTACGCCTAGTTGGGCATATGGGTTGAGACTCCAGCTTGGCCCCTTTAAGTGGCTTTGAAAAGAACTCGTAAATAAGATCCTCTTGGGCCCAATAATGGTGTTCTTTAGTTGTCCCAAAGCCCTAAAACCCGTTAAGAATCCTTATAGAACCCTAAAACCCTTAAAAGAATCCTTCAAGGAGCTTAAAGATGCTTGAGGCTCTAAAACTAACAGCGGAAAAGCGGGGAAAGCACGGGAGGGGGACATGGACAGGGCCCTGGGTTTGGGGTTTAGGCTTTAGGGTTTGGGGTGCTCGTCCACCCAGTGGGGGGTTTGGTTTTAGGGTTTAGGGTTTAGGGTTTAGGGTTTAGGGTTTAGGGTTTAGGGTTTGGGTTGCTCGTCCACCCGGGGGGGCTTTCTCTGGTTCTGTAAGGTGCTAGAAGGGCTGAAGAGGGGTTCTAGAAAGGCTCCAGGAGGGTTCTAGATCCGATCTTCCACAATACCTTACACAAGGGAAACCCTTCAAGGGTTTAGGGTTTAGGGTTTAGGGTTTAGGGTTTAGGGTTTAGGGTTTAGGGTTTAGGGGCCCGCTGCAACATGAGGGGGATAGAAATTCCCTGGTTCAGGTGCTCTGGAAAAAGGATTGTAGTCAGACTTCGGAGTTGCAAGACAAGGCAGCCCTACATGGACTCATCCACCCTGCGTTCGAGGATCAGTGAGAGGCCTTTCGCCACTCAGCTCGCACACGCACTGAGCAGCTTCATTCCTCGCTTCACCGATCCTCGGTGTTCAGGCCAGAGCTTCG